GTGTAACTTGGACATCAGAAAGGAGTCTTCTGTCTTCATAGACTTGTTTTAAGTTTTTTATACTGGTGAAACACTAGTGTAGACTATGCCTTAGCTGAGATGTGTCTGCGTGAGAAAACAGTCACCGTGGTGCAAACATACCCTTAGCAATGAGGAGCATAAATCTCACTGAAAGTCAATGGGACTCTAATTCCTAAAGCTTAAGTTACTTTTGAAAATGAGACTTAGGCTCTGAATGCACTTAAATGCTCTTGAACATTCTTCCCCCAGGAAGTTTGTAGTCTATCCTCCCAAAATCAAGAGAATTAATAGAGAGTTACTATCCTGGCAGAGAGAGAGCTTTCTAGCCAGCCTATGGAATCCTATTGCAGGGAGAGAGCTCCCGACTAAGTTTTGTGGCATGTTCCATAAAGGAAACATATTGCAAGCCATATTTGCCTTAGACATTAGAAAAAGCTCACTAGGGGTTTGGAGATGGTGTCCACTTTTGCAATCAGATTTATGTTACAGGCAAGTTTCCAAGTCAAGAAGCCTTCTCCAAAGTGAGCTTTATGAGCTATGCACTGGATGCTGAGAGCCCTAGTGAGACATTACACAGCTATTTAATGAATGTGGCAAACATATGCTGCTTTTGCAGGAAGGGAACAAGGTTCTTGATTATGATGTGGGGTATGGTAAGTGGTGAAGGTTACCTCAGAGTCTCTAGGTAGGAGGTCTGTCTTGGCCTTAGCCATGTTTGAGCAGTCTCAGGACAGTTTTGCCTTGTTACAGAGATAACTGACTCATTGGGAACTGTTATGTTGTTGGGGAGCATAGCACTGCTGTAGCTATGCGTTGAGGCCTCTTGGGAGAGTGAGAGCTGCTTGGCCAGGTACAGATATTACACTTTTACTAGTATAAGTGATCAGAAACCATCTATACCCATAACAGAATCAGCACACATAGACTAGTTTAAAAATGGCAGAACCTGGCCTAAGATTTGCTCCCCCTTTCCACCAAAGGGTGAACGTGTGGTCTGTTTGCTACTGATCTAAACTACACTGCTTACAGAAAACTGCATAACTTAGATCGATTCTGCCTTGCGGGGTTTGAAAGTCTGTACTTAGCCTTTATGTCAGCCATGTGCCACCCAGTACATTTCCAGTGTGCCACAGATAATCTGTATTGGGACCAAGGATCCTCTTCACTTTATTTAAACTTCAAGGTATTTCAGAACTGGGAAGGCAACGTACAGAGAGAAGCTTCCTCATGGGACTGCCAATGCTTCTAGCTTCTACTGAGGCTGGAAACACCATGTGAATGAGCTTTCTCTTGGAATGCCTCTGATCCTTGCCAGAGGCTGCGAACACAATACTGCATCAAATTGAAAATTACAAGGAAGCAGGTTACCTCATCATTATATGAGGGGCAGGCAACTTGAGTTCTGCCTGAGCTTTTGGTCACTGGCATTAGATTTTCTTTTACTGCCCTTCAGCTCAATGACTATTCAGGAGAAGAATGGTATTTCAAGGCACAGTCTACTTCTCTAACCACTATATTAGTTACCACCATATGAAATGGTATAAACTTTCTCTTTGTACATTTGTACATTTGTAATCTGTGTAAAGTAGAGTTTCCCCCAAAGATTTGGGGATGAAAGAGGTTAGAGCCTTTGAGTGGCTTAAGCCTGAAGGTACAAGAATGAGATTTGAAAAGAAATGAATGAAATCAACTTTTTATGCTGATGATTATTGGGATCAAAAAAGAAGCTCTGTGTGTGTGAGCATGCACGTGCATGTTCCCCTGATGATGTGTGTGAGTGTACATGCATGAGCATGTGGCTAAACACTTGTGTCTATGCATGTACATGTGTTCAGATGTGTGCATGCATATACACACATGTATGTTGTGATGTATTGGCTGCTATGTATATGTGCGCACACACTTGTTTAGGTATGTGTGCATGTATGTGATGGGGGTGAGCACTTATGGCAGGTACACATGGGTACTTGAGAGTACCTCTGGGTACGCATGCACATGGGTATGTCCAACAGGCAAGCATCAGCTTTCCCTAAATCCCTATCCTGCAGTAATGAAGGGTCCCTGCTGTTCTGAAAGATGGGGCAGGCCTCCTGCATCCTCTCTGAGAAGAAGATTCTTGCTGCACTGGCATTGGGAAGGAAATATGAAGTTCCCAGTATCCCTCTGAGGTTTCTTGGTATCCTGGAAGCAAGAGGGATCCAACCAGTGAGCAGCTTCTCTGAGGGCCCCACGTTGATAACATTTGACCTTTCATGTTTCTTTTTCATTTTGGTTAGCTAGAAGTTAGCAGCTCAGGTGTAATGGGAACCCCTGTAGAGAGGCACATTTCTTCTGAGGAGTTCAATCACTCTTCAGTTTCCTGTGCAGGGTTCCTAAGTGAAGGAGTGCTGTGTGAGTGAGTCTTTTGGAGAAATGAAGAACCCGGAGGTAGTTATCACCCTTTAAAGAGCTTTGGTTCTTTCTATTCTATCTAAGCTGTGCTTTGATCCCACTCTGTGAGCCTGGCTGGACTGTTCTATATTAATGACCCCTGGTAAATCAGACTCATTTTGTCTTCCTCTGTCTTCTGCAAGCACAGTGTATCTGGCCACCTTATACTCGCAACATGATCCTGGCTGTCAGTGCTGCCATCATGCCCTTCAATGTTATGCTATGATTCCTAGGGCCCCTCCTCTGCCAATTGATGGAGGGAGAGCAACAGGACATCAGTGGAGCAGGTAGTCACCTGGGACTGGTTTGTACTTTTCCCCTCCTAGGTGTGGTTTCAGAACCGAAGAGCAAAGTTCCGCAGGAATGAGAGAGCCATGCTGGCCAACAAGAATGCTTCCCTTCTCAAAACCTACTCGGGGGACTTGACTGCTGTGGAGCAGCCCATCGTACCGCGTCCATCTCCAAGACCCACCGACTATCTCTCCTGGGGGACAGCCTCACCTTACAGGTGAATGAAAAACCATTCTCTAGGTGATCAGTGTCCTTTGATCTTGTCCAGTCACTCTTTCTGAGCTACCTACTTATTTGCCAGAGCTGCTCCCTGTGAAAGCCTTGTAAGATCCATGTCTCGGGCCAGGTTTCCCATTGCTCTTTCCTATGACTTGGCTGTAAGCCACCATGGTGCCTTCCTGCTGCTGATGTGGAAAGTGGTTTTTCTGGCTCTAGGGTTTTTGCTATGCTAATATTTGGTTGTTCCCAGAACTTTATGCTTCATTCATGCAGTGCCTAATCTGCCAGCTTTGGAAATGAACAAGCAGGACCATCTAGCTAGCAAAACAGGGACACAGCTCTCTAGCTCCCTTGAACAACATTACTAACGAAGAGCTTTCTGGAGTGGTAGACTGGGAAATTAGTAAATAATTTGCTAAAAAGTGAGGACAGTCATTTCTGTACAGAGGTATGCACTGCTCTGGACTAACCTGGACCATGGAAGGTGCTGGCAATATAACATCAGGAAAGGAAAAATATCCCGAGCATTTGTACTCCATAATGTTCACAACCCTTATGTCCCTCTTGTGCTCCCTCCACAGCCAACTGGAATCTGTTTTCATGTGAATGAAGCAAGCTCACCAGTTGCGTTGGCTCGTAAGGAGCTGTTGGTCAGCGGACATTGTTAGTATAGAGGTCTGCATATGAATCGGCTTCTTAAGGCTTTTTGCTGTGGTTTTTTCCTGTCCCTGCACAATGTCTATCAGGTTGTCACATGTGGTTTCCTGTTCCCCCTGTGCTGGCCTCCAAGAACAGCCCCACATCAAAGGTCCCTGTTGCCCTAAGTTGATTGGATCTACTCCTCTTAGGTCCTTTGTCACTCACTCAGTGAAGTCTTTAAAACCAGACCATCCCTTATATTTCTTCTCCTTACATCAGTGGTTCTCAAGCTTTTATGGATCATATCTCATGACAGAAAGGGGTAGGATAGCCAATTTCTGCAGAAGGATTATGCCCTTATGATTCAGATGCCACTGAAGACCCCCTTTTTTCCAACCTGTACCCTGGAGCCAGTCCTTAACTTTTGGATTTTATGTAAGAATACCTGTTTGGAAAGGCCCCTTCCTATGAAGGAAAACTCACAGCGGGCATCCATCCTTGTGGGATATTTGCCAAAGAGTTGCTTTCTGGGAAGAGAGAGGTGTTGAGAAGGTCCAAGACAGGTTTTTGTCCCCTTAAGGCTGTTATGATTGCAGTTCAGAACATCTGCTGGAATTGCTTGGCTTACTCCAACCTCTCACACTTATCAAAATAATCCTCATAGCTCCCAAAATGTTGGGAGGCTTCATAACAGGTTTTAGCAGAGGGCAGTGCAAAGTAACTTCCAGGGGCCAAGGACATTGTAGAAAGGACTGTATGGGAAAGAGGCTACGTGGTCACTGAAAAGGTTGGGAGGCAACTCTCAGCTTGTTGGTCTTGCACAGAATACTACTACTAACAAGAGTCATAATCTGGAAAGGTAGATATAGCACAAGAATTTAAAATAGCTTATTGTATTGGGGATCATCATTATATTCTGTGTTGATGCAGCAGCAAGCACAGTAAGGGCCTGGTTTGTGACTGGGGATTCTAACTATGGCTACAGCACAATAAAATTATAGCCAAGCATTTTTTATCATCAGTTAATGTTCAGGGTTAAATTTTGGTTCTCAAAATTTATGTTTGAGAGCAAAAGTTCACATGCATTCATATTTAATTCACTCCTATTCATCCTTAATGTTGTTTGATCCTTTCCCTCATAATATTTCCCTA